GCACCTCACTCAGCCAGTGAGCGGCTGGTCTGTATGTGGGATCCGAACCCTCGGCAGGAGCACTGCTGCGCTTCCCAAGCGGCGCACTGTAGCAGTGCGCCACCGGGCCGGCCCTACCTAGGACATCTGAAAGGGTGGTGGAGTCATTCACCCAATGCTGAAATACAGGAGAAAAAGCATGTTTGAGGAAAAGGTACCAGTGTGTTTGGTTGAGTTTGAGGAGCCTGTAGGATTTATGGTAATTGAAAGCATGGGTTTGGAACTTGGAAGAGTTGGGGCTGAGGAACCACTGTTGAGTTATTGGGGAATTGAAATCATTTGTGGGGATGTGATTTTTGTAGGGAGAGTGGGTACAATGTGCAAAAGGGCACAGGCAAGAACTCTATGACCCACCACACTTCAGGAACAAAGCAAATAAATGAATTAGGAAAAAGGAGAAGGAACAGATAAAGTATACGGGATGATTCCGCTGCTGTGAAATAACCAGAAAAAGCAAATTTACAGAGACAGCAAGTAGATCAGTGGTAGCTTAAGGCTGGGGGTGATAGCCAGGATTGACTAACAGTGTGCACCAGGGCTCTCTTTGAGGGTCATGGTCATATACTAAAACTGGAGTGCCGCGATGGTTGCACAGTTCTGGAAATACAGTCATGTGTCACTTAATGACAGGGATATGTTCTGAGAAATGCATTGTTAGGTGGTTTTGTCATTGTGCAAACATCATAGAGTGCACTTAGACCTACTACACACCTAGGCCATATGGTATAACCATTATAATTTTATAGGACCACCATCATATACGCGCTCCATCACTGACCTAAACATCTTTATGCAGCACATGGCTATATATTCAATATCATTGCACATACGAAATAGGTGAATTTAATACTATATAAATTATAACTCAATAAATCTGTTTTTTAAAAAAGGCAAAAGAGGTGAGAGTGGGTAACTGGGTTGATAAGTGCTGCAGAGAGTTTTTAGGATGAAGACTGAAAATACCTCATTTCATCTGTCAACCAGGTAGCTTATAAGAACATTTTCAGTGGAGTGAAGAAGTGGCCAATGGTAGGATTGAAAAGGGAGTAAACTGAATTGTAGTGGGATGGGAACTGGGGAGGATACAAGGAATGCCACCTTCCCATTCCAAGAGTCCACTTGTGAGGGAAGGAAAATGATGGAGTGGCAGCCTTGGTCAGGGCAAGACTTTCTGGACATAACTGCAGATCAAAGGGAAGGAAGCAATGGAAAAGGCAAATTTGAATAAATAGAGGGTGGTTGCTGGAGCTAGATTCCAAAGAACATAGGAGTATACAGGAAATGGCTGATTACTGATTAGTGCTGGACAAGAGCAGGAACCTCACTTTATTGGAGCCTGTGAAGGAGGGGTGAATATGTCAATAAGCTTGGAAGTAGAAGGAAGTCAAGGCAGTTAGGTTCAATGGCCTCATTTTTTTCAATGAGGCATGAAATAAGAACATCAGCTGAGATTTAGGGATGGAAACTGGGGTAAGATGCTTGAGAACTGCTACTGAATAGGAGCCAGCTACGGAGCATGTGGGGGGCCCAGCTGAGGCAGAGAACAATAAATTTGTAACAGCGTCAATCGGCACCATTGTATGATTTTCCACAGGAGTGTCTGGAAGCTTGGAAAGAGAAGCTGAGTAAACACAGAGTTGGCCTGATCTGGTGCTGGGAGTTGGAAGGGTTAGTCAGGGTGGAAGGCAGGGAGTTGAGGGGATAGAGAGTGGAATGGAATGAGTGGCCATGAGGTGGCGGGGAAGAAGAAAATCCAGAGGGAGTAGGGGAGGAACAGACTGTGAGCACTGCCAGGATTAGAAGGATGGAAGGCTCTGCCAGGTAGAAAAATAGATTTAGTCAAGCTGCGAGGACATGAGCTTCTTTTGAGAAAGAGTTGTTTGCAAAGCTAAGGCTCCAGCCCTAGAGAAGCCTGAGGTCCAAAAGGCCAGAGTGGGCCATGGAAGTGGATGCTTAACTCAAAGCTGAGAAGGTACGTTTTTGGCAATAGAAATGCAGAAAGCCAGCACTTCTTGGTAGTTTCTCTAGCATTTTAAGCCCCAAATAAAAAAATCCATCCACAGGATAACTCCATCAATTGTAATACCTCTGCCTAACCAGGAGAGCTCAGGGCCGAGAAGCAAAGAGAAGTCAGACATGACAAATGATTGAGTAAAGATGGGGAAAAGAAGGCAGTGAGGTTTCCAGAGTGGTGGGATTCAGATTATCATAAGGAGATCAGATGGAGGAGGTGTGTGTAGACAGGATGGGGGTGGGGGGTGTTGGGAGCATGAAGGTGTGGAAATGGAAACTGGGTACACCACTTTGCTTCGGTTGGCTTTTCCCCTGAGTGGACTGTGCTGGCTCTACCTCCCACTAAACCAGCACCCATCTCCCTGAACAGGAACATGGTCTGCCTTCATATGGGGTGCACCGGGACCAGGGTTAAATGAGGTGAGACCATAGCACTTTTCTATGACTGACACCATCCTCAAGAAACTGTCACCTTTGAGAATTGGAATGCTAGTGCACTGAGGGAATGTTAGAGATTATCTAGTGTAATCCTGTTGAAATAAGGCCTCAGAAGAAGCTCTCTCCTCAAGAGGTAACTTGTTAAAAGACATCAAGCAAGACGGATGAGAGACTGAACTCAGTAGCCCATAATTGCTAATTCTGTATATTTTGAATGAACCACACTAATTGCTTTGGAATTTAAAGAGATCAATAGTTAAGTAGTTAAGAAGATGACTATTTTGAAATAATTTTGTTCTATGTTCAGGATATTATAAATATTTGTAGGACATGGTAAAAAGTGTTTCAAAAAAACCACTTTATTTGTGCATACATCTACACATACATAGTGGTAGTATTTTTTAGTAAAACAACTTCCTCTTTGAGCTTTGGTATGGTGGCTTGAAGAATAAAGAGCCTATAAATGAGTATATGCCATGGGGTAGAGGATAAGGAACTACCCACCAGGGCAGAGCTTATATCCCCATAGAAAGCAGGAAGATGGGCAGAGGCCACCATGCTGCAGAAGGTCAGCACATAGTACGTACCTCCTCTGATGACTTTAGAAATGCCACATAAGTTTGCAGAACTTGTGACCTGGAGCCAATGCTTTGGCCAAGTATATTTAATTCTTCCTCTAGCAGTTTAGCTTTAGAAGAAAGTGATGCCACTCCATCAGGTTCAAATTCATTTTTCTCTGTCATGATTTTTGCAGCTGCTTCTAATTCATGTGATGTCTCCTAGGAAGTAAAGCACAGGAGGTCAGAAGCTGGCAGCGGAATCACGAACATTCACATCCATTACTTTCTGCACCTCCATCTATTGCGATTATTAGTTGAACTCGTACCAAGAATCTCCTCAATAAAGAAAGACACAACTTTCAAAATCCCAGAAAGAAAAAAAGGCACTTTAAAATGAAAACCATCTCAAATTATTCTTTGGCTACATTTATCTAGAGCATTCTATATTCTGTGTCACAAAGAAGAAAGGTTGCTTGGTACGAAAGGTTGTAAAGCAAAATGGCAGAAATGTTTTAAATAATTTAAATAAAATAATTATATATAAGAATTGCTTTTTAAATTTTAATCATAGCTCTAGCAAATTCTTACACTAATTTTGTTACATAAGAGACGGCAAATTTACAAAACATGCTCTTTCATTTTTAATTTACAAAATAATAATGTATCAACCATGCTGTCTTATTTAAATCTCTAGAAGGGTTTTTAAACACATGTAGGGGAAAAGTTACATATCAGGCCTAAACAACCTAAAAAGCCGGTGAATTTGACTTGCTTAGGGATGTTCTCCTATGTTTTCTTTCAAGTGCAGTTTCTGGCTGAATTCTAACTACTATGAATGGACAAGTAGGTTTTTGGTATTACATATATAATTGCCATAGAAAGAGCCATGTAAAAGTTCATGAGCCCAAGCTAGGAATCAAGCAAAAATGAAAGAAAAAGCCTTCACTCTCATTTGCAGCAAGGAAGGCTCGCTTCCCCACTTGTGTTTAATATGCTTCCCAAGTACTCTGCTGAATGAAGGTAATTTTAATTTACAAGCCCTGCTTCATGATAGCACTCTGGGAAGGAGAGGAGTGGAATCTCTCCCTACGCAATCTCCTCCTGCTTCTAAAATTCTTAAAATAAAAAAATGTAATTGCAACGTAAGTTTCATTTTAAGCGTTTTAAATGATAAATAAAAAACACTCCGTTTTTAAAAAATTGGTGCGTTGTGACCTTCTGGTGGGAGCACTGTCCATGAAGAAGGCTCTTCTGCTGAGAACTGGAGTAACAGGGCTTTTCCTGCGGACCTGGAAGAGTCTGGGGAGAGGACCTGTCTTCCCTTCCTACACTTTGCTGGGGCAGACAGGAACCTCATTGCATGTTTGGAACTGCTAGCTGGAATCTTTGAACCCAAGTCCCAAGTGAAATGGGTAGGAAGGAGCCAGAGAAGGTGCTGTGGGGAGGGACACTTTCAGTATCTGAAAGTTGGGTGTGCAAACAAGGTTGTGTTTTTATTTGCCTCCAGGAATCTTGCAATAATACATGTTGCTTCTGGTAATTTTCTTTTGTAACTTGCTCTAGCAGAAAATCACACTCTTAGAGAAGCGGTCTCCCTGCCTCCTCTGGCACTCCAAAAAGGAGTTGCTAATACCTCCCAGGCAAGGAAAAGGAACCAAGTGAATATGTAATACCAAGCTGTAACGCTGAGCTCAGATGCCCTAATGAATGCACATATAAATATAAATAATTTATACTCATGATAATAGTATGAGTTTTAAAGTCATTATTTGCTACATACTAATTTAGAATTGCAACCCTCAGGGGAACTAGGATTAAGTTTTATAGTAACTGAATATAAAAAAAAAATCATATTTACAAAATCATAGCCATAATAATAATTCTTATTTTATTTACCTTAGTTTGGATATCTAGTTCCAGATATTTATTCAAAATCTTCTCTGATTCAGAAAGGCTGAAACCGACATCCATTGCATTAGAAAGTACTGGACTGATTTTCTGAATTGACATTTCCACCTTTAGGAATAAAGAATATATTGCAGTCTTAGTAATATATTTTCACATATATGTATGCATACGTGTAAGGAAGGTAAATATTACTCTATATTTTCCCATTATACTTTAAATGTATAATACAATTTTAATTTTAAATAGTTTTAAATATTTCAGAATTTCATATTTTAATATTGCTGCTGTTTATATGAGGTAATACAAATGACCCAACAACAGAGGGTATATGTGTAAAGATATTTGTTTTATTAACAATGAGATATAAGCAATCATCCTCTAAGAACTATTATCTATATTACCTACAAAGGATAATGCATTTACTAACACAGCAGCAGAGAGGAATTTCTCTGTAAGTTGTAGGGGACCCAACATTTGAGCACATTTTGAAGTAGGTCCTGAACATGGGTATTAAATCACCCTATGGGTTGCTATATTTAGGGCCGAGGGGATCTGGGAAAGCACCAAACCCTGTACATGGGATAGGAACACAGGGGCACACTTAGGTCATTTAACTGATGAACTTGGAGGACTATGATTTGATCTTCAGTACACACTAATCAATAAATAAAGTGACCTTGGAAGGGTTCTGTTCCATTCAAGTTACTTCCTTCATCTCCTTGCTCTAACTAAAGTCCATAGTCCTCAGAGTCAAATTGGCTCTGAATTGGCAATAAGCCAAGTACCAACAGCTGTTTGAGTTCCTATTGTGTTTTCCACCACCACCAAATTAGCTTGAGTCTCAAGCTCTAGGGAATGTGGCACTACAGCTGCCGCCATATTCGGAATGTCCCTGGACCCAGGAATCAGAACAAGGCTCAAATTCCCAAGTTTCTGGGTCAATAACGGGTGGGGAGGCAATTTCAATACTATTAATTGTTATTTAATATCCTCTCCTATTAAGTCTACTAATTCCACTCATGTAAGTTCAGGCATATAAGTTCATTGTATCAAAAGAAAATATTGAAAATTTGAGGCCCAGCCTCTGCAGCAAGGTGCATAAACATTAATGTCACTGAGATATTACTTTTTTTTTGCTACCTATCCCACCTATAGATAAGTAATTTTTTAGTAACTCCCTGGTTTTAGTCCCCTTCGAAAATAGGAAATAACATCCTCTCATACCAAGACATTGTATTCACTCTGCAGAGAGGATTTTCACAGGTATGCTTTTATGCAGAATGATCATGTCCCTTGCAATGGTCTAGTTCAATAAAGTTTGATAATGTTGATTTATTCCTGGAAAAACCCAGAATTCACAATTTTTGGTATCTATCTGTCTGTAGTCCTTGTATGGTACCATGTTAACTGAACCTTGTGTATAATGGATCCATGCCCAGTGCCATGAAAATCAACAACCTTAGTTCAATATATATATGTTTTAGTTAACAAAGTACTATGCAAAGTAAGGACTGACTATGTGTATATATATATATATATATATATATATATATATATATATATATATATATATATATATATATATATATATATCTATATATATATATGTCCAGACATGAGGTGGCAGATAGAATTGGGTATCTATTTTTTGTAACCTGGGGCAGGGATGGCTGATGAGCAATACATTGCTCATCAGCCATCCCTGCCCCAGGTTACAAAAAATAGATACCCAATTCTATCTGCCACCTCATGTCTGGACATATATATATATAGATATATATATATATATCTATATATATATATGTCCAGACATGAGGTGGCAGATAGAATTGGGTATCTATTTTTTGTAACCTGGGGCAGGGATGGCTGATGAGCAATACATTGCTCATCAGCCATCCCTGCCCCAGGTTACAAAAAATAGATACCCAATTCTATCTGCCACCTCATGTCTGGACATATATATATATAGATATATATATATATATCTATATATATATATGTCCAGACATGAGGTGGCAGATAGAATTGGGTATCTATTTTTTGTAACCTGGGGCAGGGATGGCTGATGAGCAATACATTGCTCATCAGCCATCCCTGCCCCAGGTTACAAAAAATAGATACCCAATTCTATCTGCCACCTCATGTCTGGACATATATATATATAGATATATATATATATATATATATATATATATATATATATGTCCAGACATGAGGTGGCAGATAGAATTAGGTATCTATTTTTTGTAACCTGGGGCAGGGATGGCTGATGAGCAATACTGAATTACAAATCTGTTTTTTTCAATTATAGGACCTAGTGAGGAACTTAAGAGAAGCCTAAGGGGATATGCTCCTATCCTCCCACCATGCCCACGTACTGCAATTGCCATACCATCTATTATCACCAAATTAGAAGTTTCATTTCATGAAACTACCTTCCTTAGGTAACCCTCTGCTGAGGCTGTTAATTGCTGTTTCTTAAGAGCAAATTCCTTGTGTGCTGAACACTGTTCGGTCAGATGATCCACTCGTCTCTGAATGCATCCCATCATCTCCTGGATGCCAGTCACCCGAGAGCTGAACAGAACAAGCCAGCTGTTAGTGCACTCTGCCCGATACGGAAGCCCCAGGAACAGGTTCTGTTTTCATGTTAGGGATGAGTCAGTAAAAGTTATCAGCTTTAGGATAATAGAAGTTAAGTAGCTATCATCCTATTATAATAGAGGGCAAAAACAAACTATGTTCCTTTGTTTTAAGTCAGTCAGTCCCAAGGGAAAGATGAGTTATGGGTTTTTGCAACTGGGCCTAATGTTTTCTAAAGGCTTCGTTTTAATATTTCTCTAAGACAGTTTGAGAACCTTATGGCAAAAGGCTCGGTACATTTGCCAAGAGTTTTCCTGAGGGTGTTATTTAAAAGCTTCATTTATCTAAAGATGCTATTGGAATAGAAATGTGGATTGGCCAATTAACAAAGCATTTACTAATCCAATAGGGTACAATATTTATATAACACTAAGGTCTTTGTTCTTTATGATTATGAATGCTCAAGGCTGTATTCATTAGATGAAAACCAAGTTATCACCAACCATTAAGAATCAAATATACTTGTTCGTGAAAAAAAAAAATAAACCAAACCTCACATTATTATTATTATTATTATTATTTTTTTCCTTTTTGTCTTTTTTCGTGACCGGCAACGGATCACAGGCCCTGTCGCACCTGTACCGGACTGGGACCGGCCACGGGATCGCAACCCTCGGCGTTGCTCCCTGCACCTCACTCAGCCAGTGAGCGGCCGGTCTGTATGTGGGATCCGAACCCTCGGTGGGAGCGCCGCACTCCCCAAGCGGCGCACTGTAGCAGTGCGCCACCGGGCCGGCCCTTTTTTTTTT